AATAAGTTGGAATTTTAGTGTAATTTTTAGAGTTCTTTATAACAAAATTTCTTTATAAAAGTATATTTTCCTTTAAAAACGTTTATTTTTTAAAAAATTAGATGCTCTTTCTAAAAATATGGAAATAGTATATGGGTGCATCAAATGGAAAGCATACACATGCCCCCTTCCTCCCACAAGTTCTGTTGTCCAGAGAAGGGTTTGGTATGAGTTTGCTTATAGACCCATTGTATGTAGCTGTACATATATATAGATCTCTGCATGTGCATATATATATACCGATTCACATTTATATGTGCACACACATGTGTATGATTTTTTTTCCTTAAAATGAACTCATACTATTTTTATTCCAAAAACCAAGCAATAATTTTCAATAGGAGTCTTTGTAAAATGTTCTCGATCACATCAAGTACTCTTCCAGTCTATCTTTCTACGGCTTGCCAGAAAATCTTTCTCAAAAAGAGTTAAGAAGTTCCCAGATAAGCATCTGCTGGGGGGGACCTGTAACTTACAAGCAGGCCGTGCCATTTGCTGAAGCGAAAACAGGTGTGACGCAGTGATTGCCCAATGTACTATTGAAGAGTCAGTTGTCTCCCTCACAGCCAAAAGCAACCCAGGAAAACGTCTCAGCGTCTGACACTCCCCACGGCAGAAGAAGCCATGTGCTACGAGAGTGACTGGAACTAAGGAGGTCACAAAACTGGGTAAAATTGACATAGATGGCTTTATTTGGTTTGGGGACAATATTTAAATTTTATGGATATTTGTGCATTGTGGGAGCAAAGGCACAAAATTATCTTTGGAAATATATCAACATAATGTTACATCACTGTGGCTTTGCCTGTGCGGACAAAATAACCGATTGAAAACTACCTAGAAAATTCCGGCATAATCATCATGTCTGCCCCTCATCTAGGCGTCGTGGACAAATGTGCACTTGGCCCTCGGCTGTCCAAGTCACAGGTCGAGTTTCCTTGATACTCGTACTCAGCGAGACCTCGTTAGAGCTGCTTCCCCGACCTGCCGGCTCCCTGAGACGGTCTGGGAGCTGCAGGACCGGAACTTTCAGATTCTGTGGAGACAAAATCCGTCTGGGTCGGCATCTGCGGAGCTGAGCAGCTGTGCCAGTGGCTGGGTTACTCCTCCACCTTTGTGGAGATGTGGGGGTAGGGGACCGAATGGGACCACTCTCCTCATACTTCCTATCGTATGTCCTGCTGTGTTCGGGGACGGCACGTGTCACTACCTGAACTTGTTTGATTTCTCTGCTTGTGTGGTTGTTTATTGTCTGTTTCCTCCATTAGAATTACACCTCTATGAGAACAGTCCCCTCGCCATCCCCTCAGTGTGGTGGTCCCAGCACCTGGAATGATACCTGGCACAGGGCAGGCACCCAACAAGGGGCTGTGGAATGATTGTAGAAGTCGGTTCTCTATAGAAGGCAGCAGAAGCCTCATTGGAAAGGGAAAAGGGACTACGCATTTGGAAAACAAAGAGGGCTGTGTGTGTGTGTGTGCACATGTGTGCACGCGTGTGTGACGATTTTCCCATCTCTGACTCATTTGACATTGCTTAGCTGATGTGGCACGTGAAACACGCCTCATATGTGATAACCGCGGGCCCGCCGGTCTCCTCCACTCTGGTATGAAATAAGAATGCATAGACTTCCCAGATGCTGGGGGCCAGAGGGCTCTGCAGATTCCTGTAGAAGAATCTGGTTGCAGAGTCAGAGCACTCAAATGTCCCAGGTGGAAATGAGTGCCAAGGACCCCGAGGTCAGGGAAGACAGAGAATCTCACGACAGCTTAGATGGCTGGTATGATTCATGAGTAATGTGAGGGTGAAAGTATTTTGGACTATTTCAGGTCTTTTTCGGGGCCCCGCTTCAGCTGAGTTTTCCCTGAGGAGGGTCCCTGCTCTCTCTGATCAGTGACAAAAAGGAGCTGGAGGAGCCTCAGCTGAGGGAAGTCGGGCTCCAGGAGAATCCCCACGCCACTCCTGCGGTCTGTCTATCCTGGTTCATTGTCACAGCCCATCTCAACCACGGGGCCAGCAGGAGATCCTGTGGTTCCAAGGCTGTAGCTGCTTGGGATGCTTGCTAGAGTTCTCAACTTCTCAAGCTAGAGTTGCGCTAATAGAAATTGCTTTAAAAAAAAAAAAACAAAACAAAGCACCTAGTACATTTATTTCCAAAGTGTAAGAATTCCTAACTTAGGCAATAATTTTTTCCATTCCTTATACATACATTTTTCATCTTTATGTAGATGAAAGTATAACTAATGAAGAGGACAAATTTGAATTTGTTTGGTGCTGTTTTTATTAACGAAGATGTCAGGCTTAAATGTCAAGAAAATTGATATTAATTTGCTTAAGTAAGTAGTTTAAGAGAGCAAACCATTGATTAGACTTCCCTTAAATGAAGAGCAATCTTTAGCTTCTTTGCAGGAAGTTTACTGACTTAAAATATGGGCAGATCTACAAAATCATCTTTTTTCCTCAAAGTGATCTAGTCTTGACCTTCACTTTGAGGAGTGAAATGATTCTTGGTATCTTTTGAGTCCTTTCTACCTGAATCTCTTTAGCCATTCAGGGTTTGGCCCAGGTTCACAGCTCCAGGAACACATTGCCTAGAAAGCTGGACCTGGCTGAGAAGTCAACATAGCTTCGCGGTTTCTCAAGTGTCCCATGCTCGTCCCCATCCCAACCACGTATCTGCAGGAATGTGTGAGTTAGTGGGAACGCTTCTGAGTCTGGGTCCCTTTGATTATGAGGAAAGCTTGGTAACTACATCTAAAACTGTCCTCGTCACATTAACACTTGGGGCACAGTACTGGTGGACATCTCTTTCAAGAAGCCAAGTCAGACTGTAAAATATCTGTTCATTTTAAAATTCGCTCTTTAAGATAGATGAAGAAGAACCGGGAGGGAGAGTGAAAAAGCCAACATGAGTAAAGCAAATATTTCAGCGATTAATTCCTGACCAGAAGAAGGACAGCTAGGGGGCAGGGATGGCAGTGACTTGAAGACGGAAGCAGACCTCTGAGGTTTCTTTGCACAAGCACAGAGCTCCTCAGCAGATACTGGTTGGCTGTTGAAAGGGCTGGAACAGTAGCTACTGCAGTTGTGCCCCAGAGCCAGCTAGCAAATCCTAGAAGGTGGTTCCGGTAAGCTCGAGCAGTGGGTGGCAGAAGAAAACCTCAAGAAGGTCTTCTAATACCAAAATATACATCATTTATGGGTAGTTATTGACAGACCAGAAGGGAAGTTAGCTAAAGTGAGGCTGAAAAGTAAAAAAGAAAGTCAGAGTTCATTAACTGGTAACAAGATTGGTGTGGTAAAGTCTATGTTATGCTGGGTATTACATTTCCCTAAATATTGTTCCAACTGGTATTTTCTCTGAAAGTTAAAATGTCATCCTAGCCAATTAACATTTACTGGTAATTACTATGTGTCAGGGCTGTTCCAGGGGCGTTCACAATTATTGCCTTCTTGAACTTTTGCAATCCTCCTTTTTTAAGCGGAAGCTGAGGTTTGGAAACTGAGATGACTCAGCTAAGAAGTTACAGGACAAGGGTTTGAACCTACATATCTCGTTTGTTTCTGTGGTTAGCATTCCTTCTACTAGACTATGCTGCTCACATGTCTATATAAGCATGATAATCCATGTTTCGTTAATACATAAAATCATTATTTTTCTAAAAATTTTATTTTCACAGGAATAAGTTAAGTTGAAAGAGCAATTACTTCATCATGCTATTCAAATGACATGACATGCTTCCCTGACACCATTGCCACCACGTGGTGCATTTACCAACACTGTAAGGTTTGCCTTATTGATCCAAACTAGAGTAAATGTAACCAACTTCACGGAACTTTGGAAACAATCTTCAAACGTTGTTTTACTAATAATTGAATAAAACAATTGAGCTAACAATTGGATAAACAAATGATTTTACTTGCTTACTAGCTATGAGATATACAGTAAATTGTTTAGAATTTTAATTAATTAAAATTAAATGCAATTATGACTTCACTTCTTCAGTTGCAATAGCCACGTGTCACGTGCTCAATAGCCATACATGGCTAGTGGCCACCATATTGGATAGTGGAGAAAGTTCTCTTGGACAGCCCTGCCCTAGACCTGAAATCCAAAATCCTGAAGCTCAGGTCCCTGTCTGGTAATGAGTCTAAGAGTTCTAACAAGAATTTTCACGGCACCATGGTGGGACAACATGAAATGATGCACGTAGAAGCGCTTTACTCATGCAAGTTTGTTTTTTAATTATTGCAGTGTTGTAAATCACAGTCTTTGAGATGCTAATACTTTGACCTTTGGATCTTACAATCATGTTAACTCTTTTTCAGAAGTTCAACTATATATCTTGAAGTTGACATTTATACTTTGTTCTCTAAGACTGAAATATACTCTACATTCTGCACCATTGACAATTTCTCTTAATGTGGAAGATACCATTATACATACAATGGTGTATATATATATATATAATATTATATTACATATATAATTTATGTAATGCATATACATAATTACGTCACAAAATTATGTTATTACGTAATGTTAAAAAATTATTATATGACAAATTTGTTATTATAATGTTTCAAAATTATTATATTACAAGTTAAATATATGTAATTATATTATAAAGTACATATAATACAAAAATACTTTACCATAAGGACCATATCTACTAGAAATTAATAGGAACAAAGTACAAGTACATACAAGCTTTTGTCCTGTCAGAAAGTGGTTATTGTGCATTGCAGAGAAGGTGAATGAATAACACCATGGTGCTTCATGGTGTCAGTGATAACCAAGTCCATTAACTTGCAACAGCCTTAATGACTAACACACCTCTAACTCGACGAGAGAGAATGTGACTTCTTGGTACAGACTACTTTTTCTGTGCTCTGATTGTTTCTCTTAGGGAACTACGAATCTGTGTGTCCACAGATGGTTGACACCTCCAATCAGCACAATGGAAAGCAGCCTGAAGAACGTCCTGGTGGTCTCCTTTGGATTTCTCCTTCTCTTTACTGCCTTTACTGGCCTGCAGAATCTGCAGGTAAGTGTGCACAACTGTCTTGTTATCTTACCTTCTGAATGCCTCTTGGCCTCCAAGAATCCCCGTAGTCACAGAGGACGAGGAACGTGGGGTTTCTTTTTATCCCATTCACCCCCCAAAAAATCTTCTAAACAAACTGGTTTTTACATGCAATTGACAGCCTGCGGTTCCCACTCCCATTCCAGCAGGATTTCACAACAGTGTGGGCGTTTGACCCCTGGGTGAGGCGAGCAAAGGTCTGGGGTTAGTGATTTGATAAGATTGTCTTTGCCTTAGGTTGGTTAAAAGGAGACACAGGACAAATCATTGTGAATTCTACGGTTTCGTGCCGTTGGCTTTGTGGTCAGGGGCAGTAATGTGCATTTGTCAAATTTCACTAGACCTTGTAGGTTCCAAGGCTACTTTAAGCACAACTGTGAACTTGGATGAAGTGGTCTCTGTGCGTTTGGATGCCCTGTGGCATTCTTCCCCCTCGGGTCTCTCTGAGAGGTGGTGGTAGTGGTCACATGTGCCCAGGAGTAGATCTGCTGCATCTTCCCGGGGTAGTTACATTTTAAGTCTGACCTTTAACTGCCAGTAAAACCTCTGGGAATCCCAAGGACATATCATGAGGCCCCTGAGTGCATTCCTTCACCCAGCCTTGTGCCCTGTGGCCTGGGGGCTGCCACATAGTGAAAGATTTTTAGAGCTTCTGATGACAAGTTAGTGTGGTCTTGCTTGGTTTGTCAAGCTTGTTTTGTGCACAGTATTGAACCAGAAAAGCGCATGCAGGGGGCTCAGAATCAAAGGTCCAAGATAGGAAGGGAGAAATTCGAATTTTCTGTCCTCGCTGTTATGATAGAAACACTTTGGACTAGCAGGTTGTCAATGAAGTTAAAATTCAGCCTTGAATTCTAAGTCCATGTTTTCCGCAGTGAACCCCTGTTCCATCCCCTGTTTTCGATCAGACTCACAGAGAAAGAAATTATAGGCAATGGCCATTCTCAAAACCAAGTCTAAGAGGAAGCAGTCTCCTTTCTTGCCAGGATAGTTCTTGACTTTCGTAGTCACTGCCTCCTCCAGAACTTAGCCATGTCGTTGTAAAATGTTAGTGTGTGTGAAACACTTGTCTTGTTCTGTTGAATTGCGCTCATGTTGAATGCAGTATGTGCTTTCTGGATGGAGAACTAGCGAGGGTGTGGACCCATCAGTAACCCTTTCCTGTCGAAAGCCTGCCCCACAGAAGGAAACCCTGCTGGCTGCGGCAGCACCAGATAGGTCAGCTCCTCTGGATTTGGGACCTGGCCACCATGGGGGTCAGAGTTCTCAGGAAGAAGTTGTGGATCTGACAGATGCTCAGCCGAATGACAGCAAATTGGCCTTTGGACTTGGAGTTGGAGGAGGCGGGGAGGGAGAGCCTTAGCAGCTACCAGGGGGCCTGTCTCTCAGGCTGTGACTGTAAGACGCTGAGGCAACAGACGAATGTGGGCAGACAACATTTGCCTCCGTAGTCCCCACCTCAGTGGGACGCTCATTCAGGAAACACTCAGAGTGGCCCCAGCACAGCACAGGGAGACAGTGCAGCTGTGGGGAGGCACCACGCTCGCATCCATGTCCTCCCCAGTCCGCCGAGGCTCTTAGAAGTAGAAACACCCACTGCCATCGATGTGCTCCCTCCTTCCTCATAAGATGGGAGATGCTAGAGAACCAGACCTCCAACTCTGGCCTGGAACAATCCCACCCACCCCCTCACCCTACCCCCTGTCCCAGCCCTAAACCATCATCTTTCCTTGCCCACTGATCTAGATGATGTCAACATGTTTTAACTGGGGTAATTATCTGTATCAGTTAGGACTGGCTTAACTAAAAGAACGTAATGACGTGGGTAGAAGAGACTTTAGAAATGACTGCCTCCCGACGATCTTGGAGAAACCTGCCTGTCTCTGTCATTTCCTTGTGCTTTCATCTGATTGGCTTCTTTCTCAGGCCCCAGAGGAGTGGCCAAGATGGTTGCAAGCATCCCAGGGGCCCAGCCTGCTCTGGGCTAGGTCGGGAGCCTGTCCACTTCCCTCGCAGTGGCCGCTGTCCTCTCAGCCTTTTTGGCTGTTGACCTCCCATTTACCATTCAATCTCAACTTGGATGTCACTCCCTTACCCCCCTTCCCTGTGCCCTGAATCCAAAGTCTGTGTGAGGCACCCCTGTGTGTGCTCCCGTGCTGTGGCGGGCACCACATTATGCCTGTGAACTCCGTGACTCCAGGACCACGCCCACCACTCCACGAGCATATCTCCTGCCTGAGACTGCTTGACACACAGAGGCCCTGGATGGCTGGTTGGTGAATGAGGAAGTCGTTGATGCGTTTCAATCTCCTGCTTGACACCCTTTGGGGGCTCTCCATGGCTTAAGGAATCAATCCAGTTCCCCAATATGGAATATGGGGCTATTCCTGGTCTAGTCTGGCAGACTGTCTGGCCTCATCTCACCAGCAGAGTTTAACAGCTCTGGCCGAAGCAGCTAAATGTTCCACGCTGTCTCTCGTTTCAGAATGGGGCATGCAAACACGTTCCCGACAACATCCCCATCCCACCCTTTCCCTGATTACCTTCTCATCCTCCAGGTCTCGTTTGGCCTTCACTGCTTCTAGAAAGTCTTCCTGACTCCACTGGGCTGGTCTTAGTGCCCTCCCAGGAGCTCTAGGCTCCTGAGCTGTCCCCCTTGGGGACTCAATTGCAATGGCCTGGTTGCTAGTGTTACTGACAACTGTCAGCTTCTGCCCACCGTGTGCTCCTGCAGGGCGGTCACTGCTATAATTTCCTTTTGTGTCACTAGGGCCGTGCATAAAGCCCTAGTGCTTCAGGACCTGTTTGTCGAATGAATTGAATGAAGGTTCTAATTGTTTACGCAAGTCCCCTTACTGAATTCAACAAGCATATGTGCTTATCCTCACACATGTATTTTGCAGACTGGCTCCCCTTACATGTGCAAGTACAGGTGTTTGAACGTTGCCACTCATGTAGAAAAGAAATTTGCTTTTAAAATTTTGTTCCCACTTTGGATATTGAAACCTGGCTTCCTTTTCAGTTTTTTGCAGTCAAACTTGATTGTAAGTGACACATAGACCTTGTCGATTGCAGCAGCAGTGCTGTGGGTGGAAAGGAAATTCCAGGGCAGAGAAACGCTGCAAGCTTCTCATTAACACACAAAAAGCAAGCTCATTAATACATGAGAACTGAATACCTAAGTATGAAGAGAACAAAGGCTCAGGCTGGGCCCCATCTGTCACCCCACACTCCTGCAACTAGAGCGATAAACAGAAATTTCCAGACAGCCCCCACTTCAGGGCAGAGTGCTCAATTTCCATCTTCCAACCAGATTTCAGAATTTTCATAGGACTGGCTGTTCTTACTTTCAGTTTCAATTAATCAACAAATATTTTTAAGTATCTGTCTTGGGCAAGGCATTGAGGGCGACTCAAAATAGCAAAACATTTCCTCTGCATTTGAAGGCATTGTTATCAGCTGGGGTGACTTTGAGGGGCACCAGGTGGGGTGTGCTAGAGGTCAGGTGACTGGTCGAGAGATAAACTCCAACACAAGATCAAAGCAGAGATGTCCACAGGCGACGGTATTCGGGGAGGCCCTGGGGACCCTTGATCTGCGCTGGTAGAGTGGGCACTATTCGGAAAGAGGATGGAGGAAGGTCAGAGCATGTCTAGCGGTAGGAGTGCCTACACAGAGGAAAGGAAGAGGAAATCCTGGAGTAAGAACTCGGCCTAATGGGTCTGGCCTCTCCAGTGGGCAGAATGACTTGAAAGGGAGTGTTGCAGGTTGCACCTGCCGCACTGCGCAGGATGTTTTGCTGTAAGACATTTTGTCCTGTCGGGTCGACCAGGTGGGAGGGAATGTTAATAGTCCAGGTGTCAAAGTACCTGCTGTTGATATTCTAGACACGCTAGCCGTGTGTGTGATCCTACAGGGTGTTCAACGCCTCCTTCTTCACCTTTCCTATGGGGGTAACAA